AAATTATCAAGGGCTCATGAGGGAGTGGGGAGCGGGGAGGGAGGGGAAAAATGAGGACCTAATGTCGGGGGCTTAAGTGGAGAGGAAATGTTTCGAGAACGATGAGGGCAATGAATGTACAAATGTGCTTTTTACAATTGATGTATGTATGGATTGTGATAAGAGTTGTATGAGCCCCTAATAAAATGATTTAAAAAAATAAAATAAAAATATCAGTCAAAAAAGAAAGAAAAAAATTTTATTGGGACATAATCCATATATCAGACAATTCAGTCATTCAACCATATCAAGAAGAGTTGTACAATCATTCCCACAACAAGACAAACTCTTTATGGGAGTAGGAAGCCTTCTGTCTACCATGGAGCCTCTGGTAGTTTTGAACTGCCGATCTTGTGGTTAGCCTCCTGGCCTCCTTGGCAGCCTGGTAAATGCTGGCTTTTCCTTCTGATGAAGTTGATCAGAGCAGCAGCATGAAGTGGAAGAGGAGGGAGGAAGAGCAGCAGGGTCAGAACAAAGGCGTGGCACCATTACATTCTGCATCGAGATGGTCTACAGTCTTGGACTGTGTCTTTCTCACTAACCATTTCCTATTTTGATGAGGAAAGCCAAACCCCAACTCATGCCATCCAGTCAACAACGCCGACTCGTAGTGACCCTGCAGGACACAGTCAAACTGCCCTGTGAGGTTCTGAGGCTAACTGTTCATGGAAGTAGAAAGCCCCATCTTTCTCACTCAAAGCTGGCTGGTGGTTTCCGAGCTACTGACCTTGGAGTTTGCAGCCCGATGTGTCCCCACCATGCCACCAGGGAGGCTAGGAAGAAATGACAAAGGAGACAGAGACCAGGTTATGAGGGAAGAACACAGATGAGCGTGTGACTGCTGGGGATTCTGGTTGGCCCGCATCACCCATTAGGGGCCTCCGTCTTCAGACCTGCTTCTGATGGAAAAAGAGTGGAAGAGAGATCTCCATTCATGCAGCCTTTGTTCTGTGGCAGGCCCGCTTCTACTGGTTTATGCATACTTTCTCATTTTAGCTTGCATGGTAGGCCTTATGATTCATATCCTAAGAATGATAAAATTGAGGCTTAGAGAGGTTAAGAAAGTTTCCTAAGGACACACAGTCATTCAACTCACTACCACCTCATTGTGACCCCATAGACCGGGTAGAACTGCCCGTTGTGTGTTCCTGAGACTGTAACTGTTTATGAGTAGAAATCCCTGTCTTTCTCCCAGGGAGTGGCAGGTGGTTCCAGACTGCTGACCTTGCAGTTAGCAGCCCAACGCATACATGCCCACTATGCCACCAGGGCTCTAAGGACGCCTCCAACCCCAGGGCTATGTGACCCAAAGCCTTTGACCCCTCACTTGTTCTGTCCTGCTTCCTCGAAGCATCTGTCCCACACACCCTTCTTCTTGATGGTGTCTCCTCTCTCCGTAGAACCCCAAGCCCAGCTCAGAGGAGATCTCTATGATCGCAGAGCAGCTGTCCATGGAGAAGGAGGTGGTGAGGGTCTGGTTCTGTAACCGGCGCCAAAAAGAGAAGCGCATCAACTGTCCTGTGCCCACACCCATCAAATCACCCATCTACAACTCCCGGATGGTGAGTGAGCTGCCACACGCTGGGGAAGCAGTGCCTCGGGGGTAGAGGCGGTGCTGCCTGGGGAGAACATGGGGGCTGGAGGTTTGAGGGCCGCAGGCAGCACATTTTTGTGCAAATTAAGGCTGCATATAAGATGTATAAGCAGTCCCAGGTTGCAAATGTCCCACTTGGTGTGACCTGTAATTACAAACCAGCTCCTGGAAAATTCGAGGTCCAGGCAGTGGTTTGTAATAACAAATGGGCGCTATTTTGCAACGCGCATCAAAACATTATTATTATATCATGTTCACAATGCTGTCGTGCATGCAGGTACAAGTGTTTTTTTTAATTATTTTATGCATAGAGAGTTTTGTACACTATATGACAAACACTGGTCAAAGTGTTGTGAGAGGTGAGCCGTACCTAAGTGTTCTAACAAATTTGGCTTAAAGGTAGATTTAAGAACAAAACTCAGGATCTACATCTAATCTCCTCCCGGACAACCGAAAAGGGGGTGAAGGGAGACGTCGGACAGGGCAAGATATGACAAAATAATAATTTATAAATTATCAAGGGTTCACGAGGGAGGGGGGAGTAGGGAGGGAGGGGGAAGTGAGGAGCTGATGCCAGGAGCTTAAGTGGAGAGCAAATGTTTTGAGAATGATGAGGGTGCTGCGTGTACAAATGTGCTTTACACAATTGTATGTATGGATTGTGATAAGTATTGTACGAGCCCCTAATAAAATGATTTAAAAAAAGAAATATGTAATTACCAACAAAGCCAGCATTAAAGTAAGACATTTGTATGAAGAGAAGAACAAAACTTGTTCATAATCCAGGGGCTTCCTATAATGTAAAGCCCCAAAAAGCCTAATGGGATAGGAAATGAGATGGGGAGATGCTTCTTAAATAGGTGGTCAGAGAAGACACCTGCACTGGCAACATCGGAACAGAGATAGATCTAAGTGTTAAAAAGAAATAAAGTGTGTGGATGTCTAGGGGAAAGAGTGTTCCCGGCGTGGGAATTGGCATGTGTTCCGTCTCCCATGACGCACTCTACTCGCGTTGTTCTGTCTCCCACTGCGTGTTCTGCTGGGCTCTGTCATTCATGACCATGGCCACACAGAGCCCACAGAGGACATGCACAATGACGGTTTTATGAGGGAAGTGAACAGGTTACGAGTCAGATGAGACATGCTCAGGATGCAGCTGCTCCGTCAGGGCAGTTTCTTCTCTGCCCTGTCTGCAGGCAGGCCGCTCTCTGGCCCTCACCCTCTTGGCCTGGCCTCTGACCTGCTTGGGCAGGGTTTCAAAGCTTTTATAGGGAATGGCCAAAGGGCATGCCACTCCGATATAAACCTCAACATGAAGCCTCTCAGCTATAACTCTGTGGGCCAGCAAAACCCTAATTAAGTGCTCACTCCACTCCTCAAGCCAGCCTCCTACCTCGAGCACTCAGCCTTTGCTTGCTCTGTGGGCTAAGTCTACTGCTCTGTGACATGCTCTGGCTCTGCTACTCTGGTGTCATACCTGTTTCCTGGACCAAGGAGGCTCCATGCACAGGAATCTTGGAGCCCAAAGGACATGCTCCACTCCTGGCTCTTCTTCATTACTGGTAATAAAGTCCCTCCCTTTCCAGCTTCTTCGATGACTCATTTTATACCCAGCACAAATGCAATCACAATGAGCCCTGTTGTTAACGAGCTGAATCTTATAACCCACCCAGTACCTTCCCCCACTCTCTTACCTGGCTGCTGCAGGAAATGTGGCTTGATGGGAGTAGCATGGGTTACGGTGAGAAGAGCCGTCTGTATGCAATCGTCCATTGCAGCAAGTGAAAAGACAGGGCATGGTCCTGGTGTGAATAGCAAGGACGTCAATGCCATGGGGCAGAGTGAAGACAGGAAAGAGAGAAGGAACAGAGACCTGGTTACCCAAGATCTGGGAAGCCCCAGCTTGAAGCCTGAGAGAAGTGCAGCCACTGGAGATCTCTGAACACAGAAGAGAGATCTGGCTACCTTGGCTGTGAGGTGGAAAGTCCGTGAAAGCAGGGAGCCTAGCTGGGAGGATGACAGTAATCAGGCTGAGGGTGGCAGTGTCTTGGGCCAGCGTGGTGGCAGTGGTGGCAAGGAAAAGTGGTTGCATTCTGGATATACTTCAACTAGGGAGCTAACCAGATGTGCTGAAAGATCAGGCACGCGGGATGAGAAGCGAGCTGACGGGGACTTGAGGGTTTTTGCCTGAGCAACTTGATTGGAAGGCATTGCCACCATTTGAGATGATGGGATCTGCAGGAAGGGCTAGCTTAAACGAAGAAATGAATGATCTGTCCAGCTACAATGAAGAAACCGAGTAGATGTCCAAGAGGAAATGCCCAGTCGACAGTTGTACATGTGATTCTGTGTCCACTTGGGGCTGAGAATTCGGCATTCCAGACAGACGGCAGTTCGAGGAGTGGGAAATCTCTTGAAGAGGCGTTTCTCCACCGCGGGGGTGTTGAAGGTTAAGGGAGTTAGGGTCGTGGCATTACGCCCAAGCCTTCTACTCTCAAAACCCAAACCAGCCAGTTGCCACCGAGTCGATTCTGGGTCCTGGAAATCCATGTCTGCCCACAGAGCTGTGCTCCACGGGGACTTCAGTGACTCGGTTTTGGAAAGCAGACCCCCAGGCCTTTTCCCAGAGGCATCCCTAGGTGGACTTGAACTTCTCACCTTTGAATTAGCAGCTTTAGACATTTGCAATACCCAGGAACCCCTTCAGAAGCACACAGGATGGTGTAATTCGCCCTCGTTAGGGGTAGGGCATAAGTGCGTCCTAACCCTACACATTATTCATTGATATTGAAGAAGCCGCGGTAGTACAGCGGTTACACCCTCAGCTGGTTCTAACCAACTAGCGATCCCCTGGGTGAAAGACTGGGAGCCTGCTTCTGGAAAGCTTTAGAGCTTTGGAAGCGCTCTGGGGGAGTTCTGTTTTCTTAAAGGTCGCTGTGAGTTGGAATCGACTCATGGGAGATGGGATAGCATCTGTTGGACTTTATTTCAAGTTCTGGGATACAAAGAAAAATAATATCTGTTCCCTGTTCACCTAGAACCTCACCGCCTAGCCTAGCCAAAGAGAGAGACAAATAAATAAATGACAAACAACATGATGATTTTCACAGGAGAGCTTGGGAGCAACAGCTCACGGACTCGTGGTGGGGGTAGTTAGGGAAGGCTTCCCCAAGGAGCTCATTAGTACCTGAGCTGAGTCTAAGAGCACACGAAGCCAGGGAGAGGTCAAGAGGGAGAGATTCTCAGTAGAGTCGAGGATGAGGACCGTGCTCTGGAGCAAGAAGACAGAGCACTTGTGCAAGGGCCAGCAAGTGGTTTCATGCGGAAGAATATGCAAAGGTGGGGCTGGCCGGGGCAGCAGGGAAGTCCCATGGTGAAGGAGTGTGTGCAGTGCTAAGGAACTTGGCAGCCCCAGGGAATCACCTGAGGACGTTGAAGCAGAACACTGACATACTAAGAGTCGCACTTTAGAAGGACCTCTGTGACGGCACAGAGGAGGGGCTGTTGAGGCACAGGTTTCCTGGAGAGACCAGTTAGGTTCCGACTGCAGTTATCCAGGAGAGAAATGATCAAGGCAGAAACCAAGTCATGTGGGAGGGATGAGGAGGATGGGCGAGATTCAAGAGACAATGAGAAGGTAAAGGTTTTTGGTCTTGGCCTTGGCTAGTGAGTTGGAGTTTGGGTGGGGGTAGGGAGAGCAATGAAGGGAAGAGAAGGATCCAGGGTGGGGGCAGGAAGGAGAGAACCTTTTGTCACATCATCCACACTTCAAACTGGTCAGACATTTCATTAACTCACCCCTAATGTGCTGGCTAGAACTGCCTCTCTTTGGTGAGTCTGTGATGTTGGCTGGTATTGACAGTTTCATGGGTCTGAGATGGCCCTCTGGCCAGGCGTTCCCCACCCCTGATCTGGAGTGACTCTCAGCCCTCAGGCCTGGCTGATGCCATCGCTGGGGAGTGATGCCATCTATGGGCCAAGCAAAAGCTGAGGAGGAGCTGGTTTGGGAGTAGGGCAAGGTGATCGTTCCAGCTCTTTGTATCATTAGGATGGATCATGAGGCCTGCAGTATCATTAGGATGGATCATGAGGCCTGCAGAACACTCAGATGGGATGCTTGGAATCAGGAGTCTCAAGGTCAGGAGAGATGGGTAGGTAGAGATACAGGCTGGACGTCCCGGCAGACACATCAGGTAGTTGAAATGCTGGGAGAGGAGAAGCTTCCCTTTGGAATTTGTATAGAAGAGTAGAAGAAAGTCTAAGTCTGAGTCCTAGGGAATACCAGCATTTCAGGGGATGTGTTAGTCTAGGTGGACTAGAGGATCAAATCCAGGGAGACTGGTATAAGAAAGAGCTTTATATAAAAACTAATCGTACCTTAAGAAAACATCCCAGCCCAGTCCAGATCAAGTCCGTAAGTCTGATATTAGCCCATACCAATGTATAAAGTCCTCTTCAGACTCACGAAACATATGCAATGATGCTGAATACAGGAAGATCACAGGCCAGTGGGTGGGAGGTCTTGTGGATCCAGTGGTGTTGTAAGCATCCCAGAGCTGGCTGGGGTCTCCAGGAGGCTCCTCCAGCTCAGGGCACTAGTGTAGCCAAGTCTGAGGTAGGGACACATGGAATGTGTCTTGTCAGCTGCAGTGTCTCCCAGGGAGCCAGCCTGTGTCCCACCTCAAGAGAGCTATTTATTTCCTTAGCACCTCCAAATGAGGTCATCGAGCTGCACCCGATGGACAGGCTAAACTCCACCCCTTCCCTCTTAATCCTCTCAAATTGACAACAGATTATGTAACTACCACAGGGGATGAGCAAAGGAAGAGAATCCAGAAGGTCTCAAACCTGCAGTCAAGTGGATGTGGCGGGTGCTGGGCCGGGAGGAGCCCCATAGTTGTAGTGCTATGAGAACACTGATAAAGACATCTATATGAGCAGGGGCCACGGAGGGCTGACCCTCGAGGATCTGTGCAAAGTAGGAGTTTGCAAGAGGAGCAGCATGCCAGGCCGAGAGAACCACCTGTGGAAAGGCAGGGCCTTATGAGGCAGCAGGATGCGCTTGGGGATTCGCGAGCATTTCAGTCTGGTTCGAGTCAAGGGTTTGGGACTGTGATTTGTAGAGGCTAAATCATGATGGCCATGGATTCTAAATTAGCCTAAATGCTGCGAGGAGGCACCATTGCCAAGTCTAAGGTAGGGATAACATGGTAGCCATGTATTCATTTCTTTTCTCACCATTTCCTGAGCACCCACTATGTGCTTGGCACCGCATGGTATCCACGACTCATGCATCCCTGCCGCCTCGTCAGGAGATGGCGCATTAAACATGCTATTTGTGAGGAAAGGTTCAGAGGAGCCGCACAGGTATTGGAGTGACCTAGCCTAGTCTTCAGGGTCCAGAGCTTCTCTGAGGGATGACGTTTGAAATGACACCAGAAGAGCGAGCAGATATCAGTGGGGAAAGGGTCTCAGTCAGGGGAGGGGGAGAATGACTATCCAGCAGGCCCTTCTCGGCAGAGGACATAGTTGCGTCAGAAGGCCCCAAGGGTGGGCTACGTGGCAGGAGGAATGGGTTGGAACCCTGGTGCTGGGAGGGGCTGCAGAGGGCTGGGCCGGACGATGCAGGCAGTGGAGGCTATGTTACGGAGGTGAGCGGGGTCCTAAGAGCCTTGCCATCTTTAGAGACGAGGCTTTCTTCAGAGCAGATGGGTTAGGTTTCTGGGGTGGTTTGCCTCGGTTCTTGTTTCGCAGCACTGAGAGAATTCACGCGGCAGAAGCACTTTTGTACATCCAAGTGATTTTGATGAGGGAAAGGAAAGTTTCAGGTGTTACAGTCTCAAAAAGCGCACGCTACTTCTGGAAAGCGTACAAGGCCACTCGGACCCCCGTCAGGAGCTCGCCACTGGAAATGGCCACTGCTACAGAGCGCGGAAAAGCACATGGGGCCACGAGCAGGAGAATCGGCAGAGACCAAGCTCCAGCAGAGCGTGGGGCCTGCTTTAATCCCCGCCCGCATTACTGGAGGGGGCCTGGTGGAGGGACTAGCTGTGGCCTCATTGGCTGGGTTCAGGTGCACCTGTGTGATGTCATGTCGCTGGTGCCTCGTCTGCGCATGCTGTTAGGATTTCCCATCAGTGTCTAATTAATGTGCCTGATTTCTTTCCAACCTTTATGGTGGCAGGGACAGCTAAGTTTTGTTTAGCGTAGGCATTCGGGAAAGACATCCCCCTTTATTCCCAATCTAGCGATCTATCAGATGGAAGGGAGGTCCTTGTTTTTGTTCAATCCCAACCCAGGACCCCCACTTGAGAGACACGGTGGGAGGTGGGAGGGAGCCAGGAAGAAGACTCAGTCCCTGTCATGGGTTGTGCGGCACAGGTGTCCTGAGCACCTGGCAAGGTCTTGGCTCTTTGGTAGGTGTTGGGGATGCAGGGCAATCTCCTGCCCCGCAGAACCCCCAGAGGGGTGGGGGAGCAGGGCATTCAATACACAATCCCACCAGGACTTCCCGTGGACTCATGAAGGGCCAGGAGAGTGGGCCACGGAGAGCCTTGCGAGCCGCTGGCTCCTTCTGTCATCGCTTTGACCTTGGCGGCCTCACCTGAGCCCCAAAGAGAAAAGGTTTCCCGCCCTGTCTTCTCAAGTCTCGTGCACCTTGCAAGTTGTCCATAGTTTCTCCAGCTTCTGATATAAAATGATGTCCCAGGGACATAGTTAAAAAGATAAGGGAGTAAAAGAGCCAAACAGTCCAGCTCTTTGTGGGCAGAAGAAGGTCGTCATTTATATTAAACACACACACGAAAAACAAACAAACAAAAACAAAAACAGGAACAGGCATATTTGTGTGTATGTATACTTGCTTGGGCATAGCTGGCCAGCCTCTGGAAAGAAACCCAGGAAGCGGGTCCATGACTAAATTCCTTATTTAAAAACAACAAGTGTCTCGGGGGTGGCCTCAGGCAGAGGAGGAGGAGGAGAAGACCAGAGATTATTGATAACATCCACCACCCGACACCCTTCCCTGGGCGCCCCACCCTCCCGTCTCCACCCTCCACGGCCCGGGGCTGCTGAGGAGGCTCCTTGTGAAAGGGAAGAAGTGAGAACCTCTGCTGATTAAACAAACGCAGGCTGCATCCTGTGAAGCTGAGCTGTTCTGAGCTGCCTGTGTGGGGTGAGGGGTGGTGCCCAGGAATTTCCTTTCCAAACACCCAAGCGAGCTTCCCCTGTCAGCCTGAGGAGAAGAAGCGGGAGAGCAGGAGTGTGGGCTTCAGGGCAAAGGAAGAGTGTGGTAGCTTCCAGAGCCGGGCAGCCCTAGAGGCAGCTAGCTGCCTCCAGAAGGAAGGCAGAGAGGGGGAGTGCTTACTAAGCTGGAACTTTTCACCTGGTGTGGGGTTGGAAGCTTTATGGATAGTATTTCATTAAAGCATAATTAAAAGAAAATAGAAGGGAGATGCGCATGCCTACTGCTTTACAGATGAGAACACCAAATCTGTGGCTTGGCCAAAGCCGTGCAGGTCGCGGAGCCAGGTCTCCCTCTTAGATGTGTGGGGCTCGAAGCCCATCACCCTTTCAATCTCACCTTGCTGGGGTGGGGGCTGGGGGCGGTACTGGGGGTGGTCCTGAACTGCCTGGGGTGGTTGTACTCCGTGATTTTAGGTCTCTTCCTCCTCATCTCAGTCGATGATACCTACCGAAAGGCAAAATTAAAATGCACAGAGACCAAAGTTCAACTCCTCCAGTTGGTTGTCTCTGGAGATGGCCAGGGGCCCAGTTTGCAATCAGGCTAGGAAAGTCTCAAACAGGACCCTTAGGGCTGGCCCCCTGCTTCCCTGAGCAGAGGCAGTGTTCTTTGACCCCTATTCAGGGTGGGGGCAATGCCCCACAACAAGCAGCCTTCACTGGGAGCCAGATGAATCCAGCTGGCCCAGAGGCCTTGATGAGAAAGCGTGGACAGTGGGGTGATGTGGCTCTCAGAACTCTGCCGGATCCGGGGCTCAGCAACCTGGGTCCGGGGTCCGGGGCTGGAGAACAAGGACCAGTGGGCATTTACAAGTTTCTGTTACTTTTCCAGGTCTCTCCCTCGGGGTCACTGGGCCCGCTTTCTGTCCCTCCTATCCACAACACCATGCCTGGAACAGGTAAGTTTTAAACTGAGCCTTGGCACTACCGTAGAAGGCTGCCTTGGCAATAGCGAGATTGCCTACTCGAGGGCGAGGGCCCTTCCCAAAGTGAGCATTCACTCCACGTGCTTCAGAGGACATGCCATCCATGCTGGGAAAGAAAGGGTGCTGAGAGAGCTGGTTTGGGAAGTGAGTGCTGAGTAAACACAGTTGGAACCAATGCAGGTTGGTTTGGCTTGGTTGTCATTGAGGCACTTCCTGGCACCCACCGATGCATTAGGCACTCCTCACTGAGTTCTGCAGCAGGCAGGCTGCAGAAGAAGGGGGTAGCCTAAATCGATTTGCTACCGAGCTCTGCTTTTCACTAAGTGCCTGCAATGTTTTGTGGCGCTGGATGGGCTGACCATCGATCTGGGTATGCCCAGGAGGGAGTCCTAGTGCCGGCCTCGTGTCCGGATAGAGAATGAAGGACTCTCAAAGTGCCTTCCTTTGAGCAGTAAATTATGTCACCCTGCCCATGAAGCAAAGGTCCTTGGGTGCCGCAAGGAACCTGCACTCAGCTATGACAAAAGGGGGAACATCCAAATCCATCTTGTGGTGCCGCAGCAGGAAGGCCCGGCAATGTGCTTTGGTGAGGTCCCCATGCTGAGAAGCCGATGGAGGGCAGCTCCATTCTGCACACCCCGCAAGGCTAGGAGCCGGAAGCCACGCTGGTTGCTCATGGAACACGGAACCCTCAGCGCAGCACATCAGTTGAACTCAAATCTCCCGTTCTTGAAGAGCTCTGGGTAGGGGGTCTTTTCTGCCAGGGGCCGTTAGCATCATTCCGCAGGCCATGCTGGTCAAGTATTTAATTAGGTGACCCCTAGTGTGATGGCTGGAACTGCTTCTCTCTGGTGAGGCTGAGCACTGGCTGGTATTGATGACATGGAAGGCCTCTCAGGTCCTCGGGCCAGATGTGCCCCACCCCTGCTACAGAGGAACAAAGGGCTATGAGGGAAGTCAGTGGCCACAGGTCACAGTGCTGCTGAGTGATGACCTGGGACCCAGACTCAGGTGTCCTCCACACCTGGTTCAGAGCTCTTGCTAGCAGGCCAGTGGAGAGAGAGAACTGGCTTTAACCCCCTGTGGAGACAGAGAACTGGCGAGGCTGGCACCGCTCCATTGTCCTTCCTTGCTTCCTGTCCTAGCTTCTTGTCTCCGTTCCCCCTCCCACTTCTTGGTCTGGGGCTGCGTGTGCCCAACCTAGGGTGTGTCCCGGAGTAGGATGATCTTGGCATGCCTCCTTCTTGTGTTTGGCCAGCCTTGGACCTGCAGAACCAGCTGCACCACTCTCTAGGGGAGAGAGAGAGAGAGAGAAAGGGAGAGGGAGAATTGTGAAGAGAGCCCCTGGGTGCCGCAGCCTCAAGGAGGGTTACGTGGTTGGAAGAGGACCAGTGGGTGGGGAGAGGGAGAGGGTGAGCTCCCTGTGGGGTGCACCACGGAATCAAGTGTCTGCTGGGCGGCTGGGTCATGAGGTCCCAGGAGCCATCAGCATTCTTTCCCCCTTGTGTTTGCCTCTCCTTGTCCTCAGTCACGTCATCCTGTTCCCCTGGGAACAACAGCCTGCCCTCGTCTCCCGGCTCCGCACTCCACGCCAGCAGCCCCACTGCATCTCAAAACAACGCCAAGGCCCCAGTCAACTCCCCCTCCAGCTTTAACTCTTCAGGGTAAGATGGGGGAGAGGGGAGCGGGGCGGGGGCTGGGGGGGGGCATGGTGAGCGGGCCAGTATAGCGGCCAGCCCAGCAGGGACAAGGGGCACATGAAAAGTTGGGCCAATACTTGGGAAAGAGAGCTCCTCGCAGGATGGAGGGCATAAGGGTGTCATGGGAGGGCCGAGTGGGCAGTCAGGCCCTGGACTGTATCCATGGGGAGTGGGGATTTAAATAAGAAGCTCCAGGCAGTGAGCCGTCCTGGCAAGGAGCTGCTGTCTACGAATCCAAAATTTCCATCCTCACTTTGAGGGTGGAAATTTCCAAAGACAGCTATTAGAAAGGGCTTGGAGGGCTGCACCCTAGGCCAGAAACTCGGTTCTCCAGGAGGTTCTGAAGTGAGCCCAGAGCTTAGGCACAAAGACAGCCCCGCCCGAGCCCACAGCGGAGCAGGCCCGGCCAGAGGAAGCTGGGGAAGCAGCTGCTAGGCCCGGGAGCCAGCCCCTCTGCCCTTACCAACACGCTCAGAGCTGATGCGTGGAGAGTGCCCGCCCCGTGTCAGAGACGCACAGCTTTAAAAGGGAAGGCGGTCAGTGAAAGTGCTGGGCTTGGTGGAGAGAAGAACGTGCTTGCCCAAACCAAGCCCAGCGATGCAGTAGCTCCTATTGAACAACTGATGCACACCTCCACCCAGAAAGGGGGAAATCCTACAGGAGTAACTTTCCAACCAAGCAGTCTGAGGCTTAATGCACTTTCCATAACCCCCTGCCCCCCACTTTAAAGTACGATTCCATGGATTTCAGCATAGTCACAGGGTTGTTACAGCCTTTACCACTCTCCCAGTCCAGAATGACGTCATCACGCCCAAAAGGAACTCCAGGGCGGGCTCTGCTTCCAGTCCCGCCTTCTCAATTGCCTCACTAGCTGCGCCACTCACGGGTTGGTTTCCTTCCTTCCTTCTAGATCTTGGTATCGATGGAATCATCCCACCTACCTCCACTGAGACCAGAGAGGTTCTCCTATCCCGCTAGACCGCTACTCCTGCCGGGAAGGAAGGGAGTCATGCCTTCATTGTGCAGACGGTTGGCTTTCAGCAGAGGAGAGGAGATGCTCCACTGCCCGTGAACCCGCACACTGGCCTTCAGGAGCAGCATCCCACCCCCAGCCCTCGAGATCCAAACTGTGATTGAACCGTGTGCTGACTCTTCATGCTCTTGAAATATATGGCCCCCTCCTAGGAATTTACCATTTTCACCTTCCTCGCCAGTGCCCCTGTCTTCTAGTTCCAAATGCTATCGATGGCGTACCTCTGGCAATCGTCCTTCAGAGAAAGGACTTCTTGGCCATTGCTCTCCCACTCACCTGCGGGCTTCTGGGCACAGCCTGGTGTGCCAAACTACCACAGAGGGAAAGGATGGTTTGGGCTCTGAACTTGGCTACAATCCTGGAACTAATTTCAAAATCTGGGAAAAGATTGGAATTCGATAATCTGTTGTCTCCACCAAAGCCTTGGTTGTTTTCCCTGTTCGTCGGAGTTTCCTGACTGAATCTTCCTTTCACTCTATTTCCTCTAACTCCTGTCCGTCCCCGCCCCTCCCACCTGTGTTCTCCAAGTCCCTTCCTCTTTACAGAAGCTGGGGCAGTTGGTCCCCTGGCCATGGTTCTGTGTTCATCGGTGTCCTGCCCGCTCACCTCTGCTCCAGACCTTAGGAGCCCGTGTGATGTCTCTGTGTCTACTCATTTCTCTCAGTCCAGCCTTGTTTTCCTTCTCCTGGCTGCAAAAGGGAGAACACAAAAGCAAACAGACACACCACAGTCATGGTGGCAAATTCTTGTGTATAGATAGGACCCTTTCCTGGTTTTGCATTCTGTTCTTTTGTCCTTCGTGTGGAGATTTTTCAGCAACATGTGTAACTCAGGTGTGAATGTTAAAGATGTCTCTGTAATATTTTATCTTCTTTTTAAAAAGAAAGGAAAAAATATCCAAGTGTGAAAGCCGTGCTAGCTTTGGACAGCATTTGGATGCGGGGTGCCGATCTTGGGTGCCTTCTTGAAGAACATATCTCTAGAGTCTCTGTCATGGATTGCTTCGTGTCTCCTCGAAAATGTGTCCACGTGGCTGGGCCATGATTCCCAGTGGGTTGGCAGTTGTGTAGTGATGTCATTTGGCAGTTAAGTAGCAAAGTAATCCCCCTCCAGGATGTGAACTGGTGTAATCAGCCAACCAGTTGTAAAGGGATTAGGAATGCGTGTACCAGCCTCATTCTGGCCCCAGGCAAGATCCAGTGACGAAGGAGAGAAGCAAGCTGGGGAGAGCCCAGAGCCAGAGAAGTGCTGAGGGCAGAGACTGTCATTTGGATCCAGAGTCCCCACACTCAGCACTTCCTACACTCAGGGGTAGATGGATTCCAAGGCATATGAGTGAATGTCTTCAAGGAATTCTTGACCCACAGATGTTGAAGAGACAAGGACCACCTTCTAGAGTTGGCACAGAGAGAAATTCTTTCCCTAGCATTGCTACTCTAAATTTAGACTATTAGCCTTCTAAACTTTTAGCCTTAAAATTCACTGCCATCAAGTCGATTCCAACTCATAGTTGACCCTATAGGACATCGAAGACTAGATCTTTCAGAGAACCTCATTTTTCTACTGAGGAGTAACTGATGGGTTTGAACTTCTGACTTTGCAGTCCATCATATAACCAACCACACCAGGGTTGGTTACCTTAGCACTAAAAAAACCCTCCAAAGTCACTGCCATCAAGTGGATGCCGACTGCTAGTGACCCTGTCGGGCAGGGTAGACCTGTCCCTGTGGGTTTCCGAGCCTGTGACTCCTTGTGGGAGCAGAAAGCCTCATCTTCCTCCCATGGAGCAGCTGGTGGTTCTTAACAGCTGACCTTGCTGCCGGCAGCCCAATAAATAACCCACTGTGCCACTAGGGCTGCTCTGGATAGCACAAACTATGAAGGCAGGATTTGGCATCTTGGGTCAAGTGTTACTTTTAACAAATACTAAAATAAGGAAGTAATTTTGGAATTGGTTAATAGGTAGAAACTGGAAGAGTTTTAAGGTGCTGTGTTAGGCAGAGTTCTCTATGGAAACAAAACCAAGACACACACACAGGTTTATACAGTGAGAAGGAATATAACAGCTAATTAGTCCACACAGCAGTACAGAGAACTCAGTTCAACTCACTTTCATGGACCAGTTAATATACTGGAAATCCTTCAACTCATGCGGGCTGTTGGGTCCAATGTCAAGGAAGCAGACAGTGGAGTCTTCCCTCAGGCAAGGCAGGTAGAGTCTGCCTGCAGACAACAGGGTGGGTCAGCAACAGTCCATAGCTCTGGAGCTTAGTGAAGCTGGCCCTAATGGGATCTGGAACTTAAGCACAGCAACACGATCACCAGCCTCAAGCTCAAGCAATGTACTCACCAGCAGCTTGGAGAAGCAGGTCTGGAAGGAGCCTCAAGCTCTAGCTACATGATGCATGGATTGGCTTGGCCCACTGGTAGTGTAGCACACAGGTTGAGGCAGAGAATTGGTTAAAACCGCAGCATCATGATCCAACCACCAGCGAGCAAGAGGGGAATGGGATGCTGTCTTTATTTCGGTCATCATCCAAACAAGCTGTGATTTGACCAAACTCTGCCCACATGTTCCCATTGGCCTAGTTGGCACAATAAACCCAGCTATCACAGGTGCCCAATATAAAGACCTAGATTGCCTTGAAGATGCAATTGAAGTTGGTGGAATTGATGTCAAAGACAATTCAGATGAGAGCTCGGAAGTGAAGAGAACTAACCCTGGGGACAGTGCAGTTGGTGAGGCAGTGGCAGTGAATCGGTGGCAGTCAAACCAGGAGACCAGCATAAGAGAGCATGGGACCTTATCCATTGAGCAAGAGAGCCGCCGAGTGCCTGGCAGGAGGCTTCCTAGCAGAGTGGGGTGCTCTCAGAAACTGGTCAATAGATCTAGGATTGCTGGTCCACAGAGCAAGAGAGCTGAGCACCAGGCACTTCACAGTTGGGCTGAAAAGCTTGATAACATTTGCTGGAGCAGGCCAAAGGCCTGCCAAGGCCAAGGCCAAGATGTCTGAAAAGATGCAAAAGATGAGACAAAAAGCACAGGAAGCAGAGCTGCCTCAATCTCGGAGGGTGGGGCCTCACCCTGCTGGGTTCTAAAGGGTGGGTCCACAGCTTCCTCCATCTCAAAGGCAGAGGTCACCATTGTCAGTTCTGGGGCACGCGGCTGCCGTTTGTGAGTTCTACTGCATAGGGTCAAAATTGCCCAAAGCAGAGGGGGTAGGAATGCCATGCTCAAGGGGCAGAAGAATGGCGCCTGCTGGAGCCGAGGGGTAGGGTAACCACTCAACTGAGAGAATGGCACACAATTCAGTGAGCCTGGAAGGTGGAGCTGGAGCCCAGGGCCAAGAGGCCACCACTCAGAGTTGGGAGAGCAAGGCCAACACCCAGCGTCTGGAGGGCAGGGCACTCTCTAGACGATCCATCCCAGAGAACCAAAATTATTCTCAAACCCTGGAAGCCGAGGTGCCCTTTGTACCCCCAGCTTCTCACATTTATTATGGAAATGTCTAACTTGCGCCAGCTCAAACATTATACTTTGAGGAAAGATCACTTTCTATCCAGACTTTATAGGTTCACAGATAAAGAAGAAGCTTTGTCCCAGGATGGCATTTGAACTTGGGGTTGATTTAAGACTTTGGGATGAAAACAGAAGACTTTTGGAATAATACCACGGGGCTTCTAAAAGCTCATGGAAAAACTCCATGATCCTCTCATTCCATTGTTCCACGAACTTTTTGAACCCCCCTCTCCCCCCATATACTGGGGTAGAAGTGTTTTGCACAAGGCATGGATGTGAATTTTGGGGGTGCAAAAGAATGGAACATCATGGGTTTGTTTCCCCCCAAATATGTATCAACTTGATTGGACCATGAGTCTCAGTGATTTGGCAGTTATGTAATCATCACTCCCATGCTGTAATCTGATGTGATTAGTCCATCAATTATAAGGGGATTAGGGTGAGAAGCAGCACTTTTATAAGGGTCACACCCTGATACAATGTAAAGAACTTTCCCTGCGGTGGGGTCCACCTTACCCACCATCTGCTAGGTGATGTCAAGTTGGTTCCTCCTCAGAGAGAGCCTGTGCACAACAGAAGGCCACACTGCCCCATCCTGTGCCATCCGCGCTACTAATGTTTGAGCTGTGTCACCCTTGCAAGAGACTGAAAAAGAAGAACAGGAGAAGGGGCCTCAGTACTATAAGGAATGAAATGCACTCTTTGGATCTGGGTTCCCTGTGCTGAGAACCATCTAGACCCATAGGAAGATGTCAAGACACGTGGAATATCCAAGGAATGTTAAAGGAAACAACTGTCTCTTAGAGCTGACAAAGAAACTCTTTCCCTAGAGTTAGTGCCCTGAATTCAGACTTTTAACCTCCTGGACTGGGAGAGAGAATTTCTGTTTGTTAAAACACATCTAATGCAGTGTTGCTATTCTAACAGTTCTCAATACCGTAGGCTGCCTTCTCTGTGAGCCACTGGGTAGGAATATAACAGGAAGCCATTCTAGAAATGGTAACTTTTAAAAAGACCGCCTGTCCAGGAAAATGTTGAGAGTCAAAGGAATATTTATGTTCCTAAATAAATTTGTATAGTGATTATATAAACTATTCAACTGTTGAAGTTTCAATTATCCAGTGTCTTTTTTATTGGTGGGAGCTGTGGTGGTGTATATAGTGAAATGGGATGAGAGTCATGTCTCACATTGGTGCATTCTGTCTATTGCTTGCACTGAGGGCAGAGTCGGCAGGAGAGTGGTGCATATACACAACACATGCATGTGTGCACTCCTTTTTGTGCCTGCCCGTGCATGCCAGAGCCTCCCCTTTTCTGCAGTGATCCTGGCCACCTGGGCACATCTGGCTCAGGTGAGTCTGGAAAGTTGATCTCTTGCACTGTCCAAGGCTCTGGTTCTCATTCACTTGTGACCAGGCTTACTTATCAAAGAAATAAACAGAACTGTAGCCTAGGTGTCCAGCCTCCAGGAGCTTCCATTGCTCAGAGACTTGACTCAGTTGCTGAGTAGAGTCAAAGCCCCAGGTGAGCACAGTCACCTGTCATGTCTGCATGAGTCATTCCATAAAACCCTGAGCATTTCATTAGGTGCAATGACAATGAATCATTGGGAAGAAAGGAGCTCATTGCTGCTTTTCAATTCCCTCCCTTTACACTTTGATCTTTCATTGATCCAAGATGGGGGATTTCGTTGTGAGCTCCCAAGATAGGGGAGTTAGGAGTCCCTAGGTTTTCAAGTTCAAGACATCTTCTTTTTTTTTTTTTTTTTTAAGACATCTTCTTGATGGTGCTCTGCGCATAACCATCTCTGGAGACTCCTCTGCTTCTGTGATGAGCTCCTTGTACGGAGAAGGCTGTTTTTGTTTTGTTTTTAATTCCCTGCTGTATCCTTATGCTTAGCATTGTGACTAAATACGCACAATAGTCCTCAGATTTTAAAAACGGAGTTCCGCCCTTGTTTCCCTACCCACCTTCCCATGTCCTTCACGGCGGTCAGAGCTGTGACTCCAGAAGTGGTGACCCACCTGGAGGAGACCCTAACCCAGTGGAGGAGCACGTGTTGGTGTCTAGGAGCAGGCCCTCGGTAGTCACATTGTTTGGGTTCATACCAACCTGCCTCATACTAATTGTGTCGAGTTCCTTGACTGCTTTTTGCTTAGTTACCTCTAAGTAGGGCTAACTATCGTATTCTTCTCATAGAGTTTCAAGGATTAAATACACGCCTGGTGCGAAGCAAGCAGCAAGTAAGCGTTCTATTATTGTTTGTAAAGTACATTGATAAGCACACTTTTCTGGTGGATGCCACTGTTGGCAAAAATCTGATTTGGTGAAACATGGATTATGGTCAAAGATATATAAATTAAGACAATGTACTCCCAGATAATGACACTTAAATGTGGAATCCCTTTCACCCTGGGGTTAAAAGCCAAATAAGGCCCTCACAGGAGACGCGGCAGCCCTCTCTCAGCCGCACAGCCTGGAGAGCCGTGAACCATGACCACTTTATTCTCTCATGGGAGACGGCGCAGAAGGATGCAGGGTCTCCAGACGCTGGCAGGAAACAGGAAGTGCGGCAACCAACGTGAATAAGAAATGTTGAGACTTAGTGGAGGGGATCATTCCCTTTTTTGTCTTTTTCTTGTTTGTTTTTTGTCATTTTTAAAAAACATATCATTACTCATATGTATTCTAGCACCCTTAGGAGGTCTTCTGCAGGTCATCTTATACTGATTTTAGTTGGACCTCCCCAGACCAAGGCTTCTCAACTTTGGTTGTACACTGGAATCAACTAGAGATCTGAAAGAAAAATATACCATGTCCCAAATGGCAATACTGGTGGATTTATTTTGTCTGCACTAAGGCTTGTGCATTTGGATTATATACATAACATAAACTTGATCATGTTAGTCTATTTAGAGTGCAGACTCCAGTGACATCAGTGCATTCACCATGTACCATGTGGCTTAATCATCATCCTATATCCAACCCTTCTGATCATCTGCAACAGACACTCTATATTCATTTTAAATAATCACCCCCTTCACCGTTTCTCCCCTGACCCCAGCCTCTGGCAACCCCTGCTCTACTTCATGTGTCTATGAATTTGACGAGCCCTTACATACTTTATATCAGGGGACTTGCATTATTTCCCCTTTGATGTTAGGCTTATTTCATACAGTATTTCTCCAAGGCTCATCCGTGTTGTAACATATCTCATAACTCCCTTCTCTTATGGTTTCATCATGTTCCACTGCGTGTAAGAAGGGGGCTTCAAAATGCATGGAAAGGGGGAGGGAGGGAAAAAAGAGAAGCTGATACCAATGGCTCCATAAAGAGTAAATGTCTAGAAAGGAATGATGGCAACATCTGTATAAATAGGCTTGATACAATTGATGTACAGATTGTCAAGAGTTGTAAGAGCCCCCAATAAAATGACCATTTAATTAAAAAAATTCGACAAGAAAATAAATTCATGGAAAGATGAAATTAAAAGATAATGGAACTTTCCATGAATCTTTTGAAGCCTCCTCCTATAGACCACATTTGCTTATCCACGGATTTTTTTTCTACTGTGAATAAGGTGAACATTTGGGTCCCTGTTCTCAATAATCAGGTGGCATACACCTAGAAGTAGGAGTAATAATTCTATGAATCACCAAACTGGTTCCTACAACAGCTGTGCCAGGTGACCTTCCCATGAGAGAGGCATAGTGGTCTCAGATCTGCACATCCTTGCCAACATTTGTTTCCTGTTGTTGTTTTCAATTGTACTAAAATACGTATAACCACTTGGCATTTTAACTGTCTGTAAGTGGAAAGCACTGAGCTTTTTCTTGGAAGCTCAGGTGACTCCACCCTGCTCTTAGGCTTGACATCCCCTGCCGCAATGTGCCTACAAAGCCCTGGGGATCTGGTTTAAATGCAGGTTTGAGGTAGGAGTACCGGGCCGGTGCAATCAGGTAAGCATTCCTTACTAATCTAAAGGTCGGCAGTTCGAGTCCACCCAGAAGCTGTGTGGTGGCTTGGAAGAAGGGCTGGGGATCTGCTTTGAAAAGGTGACGACGAGGGGCTTGAACCGTTTCCTCCGGCACACATGGGGTAGCTGGGAGTTGGAAGGTACTCAAAGACAACTGGGTTTTGTTTAGGCTGGGCTCGAACTCCCAGGTGATGCCGCTTTGGCTGGTCCAGCGACCACATTTTGAGTTGTGGTTAGGGGCAGTGGAGTCAGTTACAACTCATCAACCAAAGGCAACACTGCCTGGTTCCTATGAGATCGGCCACGCACACTGCAAAACTCAGCTCACTGCCATCAGTTGATGCCAACGCATAGCGACCCCACAGAATAGGGTACAACTACCCCTGTGGGTTTCTGAGACTATAAGTCTTTACGGGAGTAGAAAACCTCATGTTTCTCTCTCAGAACGGTTGGTGACTTCAAACTGCTGGCCTCATGGTTAGCAGCCCAACTTGTAGCTACTACACCACCAGGGCTCCTGTCAGGCATACCTACACTCAGAATTACTTACCAGTTGTGACACCTTCCTAGCTTTCCCTCCCCCACCACACCCCCAATCTGTCTCTCTCTGTTGGGTTGAATAATTTGTTGTAAGACCTACACAGAACTCACAGACCATACAGTTAGGTGATTTTTTAGAGAAGCAACAAGCTGTATATAGCTTGGGATCAGGATCAACTTGGAAGTAATGAAAGAGAACTCGGGAGAAAAGATCAATTTCATCAACCAGGACAGCTTCCAACCAGGACAGCTGTGAGCTCCTCTCTGCGTGTCTGAGGCTGAGCCTTCCTCTTGGCTTCTGCCCCGCAGGGCAAGAGTTATAGCTCTTGGTTTTGCCAGCAAGCCTCTTGTTTAAAGGTGCTCAGCTCTCTCTATGGGCCTGTAAGTTCATCCTCAGCTGTGTCTGTCTGTCTGTCTGTCTGTATGCCTCTCTCACCAGAAAGCCCACCACATTGTCTCAAGTCAGTCCCCTTGGTTCCCACCATTCCTGCTGTGGTCATAGCTTCTCCCACCACGTGTCCCTGTTGTGCTTATAGCGTTTCTTGCCACCTTCAGTGATCCAGCTCACTTCTGGGTCTAGGAGGTTCTCAGTGTCTGGACGCTGGCATGCTTGGCTTCAAACTCTTCTTGCTGGTAGTGAGGGCCCCTCTGACCTCTGTGGGATTGACCCTTATATAGCAGGATGGAAAAACAGAGCAACCCCCTATCTAGACTGCAAGTTAGTTCTTGGAGATTGCTTTTCAAATCACTATCTGCATTATAATAGGTGAGTCTCTTGTAAGACTGTGGCTTGGCCTGTTCCTTTTTGGCAGAATTATACACCCAAGGCCAAGACAAAACACTCACTGCCCGTTGGGTCCGTTCTTACTCATAGCGAACCTATAGATCAGAATCTAGAACTACCCCAGAGAGTCTGCAAGGCTGTAAATATTCATGGCAACACAAGGCTCCCATAGAGTGGCTGGTGGGATCATAGCCCAACATTTAACCCTCAGGCCAGAAGGGTCATATATCAAGAGAAGGTCATTGTACTGCACAAGTACTAAGGAAATACAGATCCTTGCCCTTGGGGGATTGGCGAGGAAAAAAAAATCTAACAAAATTAGACTATTTGCTACTCCCCAGACAAGGCCTACATGCTCACACCTCTGTTCTGCAATTCTTAACAATGGACAACAGCGGCAAGGCCCTTCAGTCCCTGCTTCATCACCTGCTGAGTCAGCTGCCCACTTAGATCTATTTGAATCGCCATACTTATGTCTGGTCAGTTCTTGGAACATAAATGTAACATACATGTTACATTATAGAGCTCCAGAGTGGAGAAAGGATTTACCCCAAGTGAAAGAAACAACATCAACAGTTAACATTTCTAGGACTTCCAGGGCATTTCTAGGACTTCCGTGTCGAGGGACACAGGAAAGGAGGGAAACCTCCAGGGAGAAGGATGGCCATCAGAGCCGCAAGAATGGACTTGGCCATCCCAACAATCATGAAGCTGGTCTGGCACTAGGCTATGATTTTTTTCTGTTACTTGTAACATTGCCAGAAGCCGTGAGCACTCTGAGGCAAATAAAAACAACAGTGAGCACACAGGAGCAAAGGTAGGGGCAAGGAGAGAGAGTGGAGCACATCCTGGCCCACCAAGCCTTAAGGATGATATTCCTGCTTAGAGCAGCCAATGCACCATAGGGCTGGCCCCACCAGTAGACATGGCATCCCCCTCACTGACCCATAGTGCTATGGGGGACAACACTGGAGACACAGTCTGGGAATTGTGCCCGATCTGACCCCATCACACTGGGTGAAACACTAAAGGCTTGCAACAGATCAGCATGGGGAGCAAAGCAGTGAAGTGCCCGAGGAGTACCAAAAATAGACTTTGGGGCCAGGGCGTGGCACCCCATCTGACCTAACCAGAAAATACTCCTAAAGGTCAGCAAACAGACCTAGAACTATATATAGGCTTTTCTTTTTATTTGTCATTGGTTTTTGTTGTTGTTCTTTTGCTCTATCTTGTTTTTGTGGTTATTATTGTCTCTGCATGTCTATCTAGATAAGATAGGTGGGATACCCCAATAAAATGATTTTAAAAAGGGGCCCAACCAAGCCATGCAGGCTGTGCGCCAGGCGGGC